TATATACCTAGTTAAGGCAATGCATAGAAAATGGAGTGATTGAAAAAAATGAAATACCAAAATTAAAAACTATACAAAATTGGATCTCTCATTATGCAAGTCAACATCACCAAGAAGCAGCAGAGATAATAGCTCAGGTACAAGAAAAGGCCTAAAATATAAATCAGGTATACTAAGTATTTTAGTATTGAATATGAATATAACAAATTTTTTCAAGCTTTGCTTAAAGCTAACCTTTGATAGTATCTTCTAATGCTTTAATTCTCTATTGCTTATAGAAGCAATATCTATAATGGTGTTCTGCACCCTATTAATTTCTAACTGTATATCATTTAACATATTTTGCATATTAGTATAAAAAGTTGTCTTGAAAATTGAATTTGTAAATTTTTCATTTGACATTTTCAAAGCTTTTTGATCTTGCTAGTTTAAAAATTTTATATGAAACTATAGCACTGGTGATTCAAACTCAACTGTAATTACAACTTTAATAAATATTCAATAGTAGTAGTAGATGTATGAAGTTGTTAATTAGTGTATTTGTATGAAATTTACTACTGAGAAATATATCATTAGATGTTATACTGCAATTAATATCAGTTTTTAATTACTGGAATCCAATTAGCCACATATACAAGTCATGCTTGTTCTTATGAAAGTTTTAATAAAAACAAACTAGCAAGTTTTCTGATTATTAAAATATATATTGACAAACTTGCGTACAATTAAAGTAAAGATAAGTGTGTATTACTTATACTTTAAGAACCCTTTGTTTTTTTATTTTTATTATATAAATCAGAATTTTTGCCCTATTATCGACTAATAAATTTGTCTTATTGTTATACAGATTATCAATTAAGTAAATAATTTTAATTATTTAGAAACTCAAAGAGCCTCTAGTTAATTAAAAATTTATTTATTCTTATCTATATAAAAAATTGATTATACTTATTTAATTTTTTTTGATTTAATTACAAAATACAAAAATTACTAGTTTTATCAAATTTAAGCCATACTCTATAATATCTTCAAAAATAGCAAAAAAAAAACAAATAACCTTCTTTAGTATAACTAGGCAATATAAAAATATTATAAGATTATAATATAAAAAAACTCTAACTCTAATTTTAATCTAACACTAATTTAAACTATAACTCTTACTCTAACTCTAAATATTTACAAATTTGTTTAAATTAGTTTAAATAGTTATTTTTATATATTATAATCTTATAATAATTCTATATTATCTAGTTATATTAAAGATTAGCTGAAGTAATATTAAAATAAATATTGATCACAAATCAACCTATTTCTACTATTAAAAACTTAGCTTATAAAGAAAAGATTTTTTAATTTAATTTTTTATTTGTTATGTCTGGAAAATATAAAATTAAAATAATGATATCTAAAAGTTATAAATATAACTATTAATATTTAAAAAATCTTTTAAAAAAAACTGCTAATGCAATATTTTTTACTACAAATCTTTGGTCTAGCAAGGCTAAACAAGAATATTTAGATATTACTGCAATATAGATTACACCAAATTTTAAAATCAAGAATATAATGCTAAATATTAAATATACACCTTCTTCTTATACAGATATCACAGTTTCTGAATTACTTTATTAAAGTATTTTAGACTAGAACCTTGAAGAAAAGATAATAGCAATTGTTACAGATAATAGTGCTAATATTAAAACAGTATATTTTATTTTTGCTAATAAATATAATAATATTTAACAATTACTATATGTTGCACATACTTTTCAATTAGCAATTAAAAAAAGATTAATATTTGTAAAAATTTTAATAGCATGTATAAGAAGAGTAATTTATTTTTTTCAATATAAAAACAAGTAAAAAGATTAATAGAGATACAATGCAAACTAAACTATAAAGATATATTACAGTGTATTCAAAATGTACTAACTAAATAGAATTCTCTATACTATGCTTAGAATCAGTTATTTTATCTTAAAGATATGATTATTAAACTTTAAGCAAATTTATATACAAGTATAAATAGAGATGAAAAAAAAGATAGCAGTAAATTAGAGTTGGGATCCTGTGGTCTAGTGATTTAGATACCTAACTCTCTATGAACAGGTTTCAAGTTCAAGTTCTAGTAGATACAAATTCTTTGAATACTTGAATATACTTACTATAGGAAGTCTAGATAAGTACAAGTCTGGATTAGAAATTTCTAGAAAGAGGACTATTATATAGAAGTTGGCATTATATATAACTATAGTTGTTAAAAAAGATTCTATTATACAAAGGTTATGCATGTAAATCCTCAATTAGTATAGATAGCACCAACAACTCTAAGATAGTATTGGGATCTTGTTTGGAAGGATAACTAGGCAGTAACAAGAATTAGAGTAGTGAGAGATTTGTAGTAAAAAATTAGCCTTATCAAATTTGAAACATCTCTGATACTATGTTGAATTACTTATTAAAAAGAGGCTGAAGCATGAAGGCATGTATGTGTTGAGACCCAACAGAGCTCTGGGCATACCTATATAGGAGTCTTCAAATATTATAAGGGCCTGGGACCACCAAAACTAGTATAGCTAGTACAAGTGCATTTAGTGTATAACTAGGGGGCTACAATTGCTAAAAATTACTATAAAAAGAAATAATGATATACCTATTACAAACCTTTGAGCCTCATGATGCTATCTAACTATAAAAGGCTCTGGAAGTGTAAAATAACCTGCTACAAAACATGCTCAGGCACTTCACTACTATAGAGAGAAGTACAATTACTAAATTCGATATATTAAAACCTGGGTTCTGTAACGGGAACAGGATCACGATTTGTATTACAAGGTAAGCGATGTTTATTAAGCAGACTAAAGATTCATTTCTTTACAAAATACTTATTTATACTAATCCTAATAACTAACTTTACTATATTTTTAATGCACTTATCCTCGATTACTAATTACATTTTTAATGCGCATTAATTAATTAACATATGACGCACTGCTTACTTGATTATTCGAATCGTGATCATGTGATCACGGTGAGTATAATTAAACGAACGATAACGATATCACGAGATCATCAGTCACGATCGTTGGTCATGTGAAGTTCGATCAAGATCGTGACAGTATCCCCCCTTAAGCCCCTTCTTTCGGTTTGTGAGGATATCGTTGATGAAATTCATCCACAGCCTTTTGTGTATTAACTACGTTCTCTTTAGGCTCCCAGGATCTTTCCTCAACCCCGTACCCCTTCCAGTCAACCAGGTAATATAACTTCTTCTGAATGATTTTAGAGTGAATTATTTCATTGACTTCGTACTCAGTTTCCCCATTAACTATCACTGAAGGAGGTGGTCCTGACTTTCTTCCCGGAATTGTGTTATGAGTGTAAGGCTCCAATAATGACACATGGAATATATTGTGAATTTTGAGTGTGGGTGGTAAAGATAAACAGTACGTGACCGGGTTGACTTGGGCTGATATAGTATATGGCCCTAATCGGCGGTAGTCTAACTTTTCAGAGGGTCTCATAGTACGAATGTTCCTTCGTAGCAACCAAACTTTATCTCCAATTTGGTATGGTGGGTGCTCTTGTCGATGCTGATCCGTATTTTTCTTATACCGTTTTTGGGCGATTGATAGTTCATCATAAAGGGTTTGTGTAATTTGTTGTAGTTCAGCAATTTTATTCTCTGCTGCTGGGACTGATGACTGATTGGGTTTTTGAATATTGAACCGAGGGTTGAATCCGTAATTTGCAAAGAACGGTGTGGACTTGGTTGATGCATGAATAGAGTTATTATATGCAAACTCAGCAAAGGCAAGTAGATCCGCCCAGTTGTCTTGATGATAGTTAACAGTACACCTTAAGTATTGTTCCAATACCTGATTTACCCGTTCGCTTTGTCCGTCCGACTGAGGATGATAGGCTGAGGATAAACTGACTTTGGTTCCCAGAAGTTTGAACAAACACTTCCAAAATTTAGAAGCGAATTGAGGGCCCCGATCCGAAACAATATCTTCTGGAATACCATGAAGGCGAATAATTTCCCGAAAGACAAGGTGAGCTGTTTGTTCAGCAGTGATGTCCTTGTTACAAGCTATAAAGTGTGCCATTTTAGAAAACCTATCTACTATAACTAGGATAGAATTATAGCCGGATGAAAGGGGTAAGTCCGTGATGAAATCCATAGAGATCGATTGCCACTGACGCGTAGGAATGGGTAATGGTAGTAATAGCCCATGGCTCTTATGCTTAGGCAGTTTTGATCTGGCACATGTATTACAAGATTTTATATATTCTCTTATGAATTTTCTCATTTGTGGCCACCAGTAGTCGCGGGATAATAATTCTAGGGTCTTAGCTATACCGAAATGCCTGCTAGTTTTGAGTCATGCTTCGATTGAAGCAATTCAAGCCTTTCTGCGTTTTTAGGTACATATAACAACCCATCCCTAAATAGTAGGCCATCTTGGTAGGAAAATCTATGACAATCTGTGTGAACCTTTCTTGAGCCTTGACCTAACTGGAGAAGGTGAGCTAGTATGTTCTTTGCGAGTGGGTCTGACTTTAACTGGGAACGGATTCTATCCCTCAAGGTATGGTCTATTGGGGTGATAAAAGTAGCGTCCAG